AATTAAACTATTTAAATATATAATAATATTATTACAAATAAAATTAAAATATATAAAATAAAAATTAAATGACTAAATAATTTAAAAATTTATAGAATAAAATATCATAAATATTATTTAAATAAATTATTAAAAATATAAAATATAAAATAAAGTTATAATTACAATTATACCGATACCCTCCTAAATAATACAGGTACGGTAACAATATTGATTGGGAGTACTAGACTTGTGTACGTGATTGGTATATTATTTGAGTTTGATAGACTTTTCTTTTTTACTATGTGAGACTTTTATTAATTAATAACAATTGTACTATCTGTACTACGAAGCCGAGTTCTAACTCAGTATCACAGTGCAGGACGACCTCAGACATGCGTTGGACGACCTCGACCAAGACGAGGTTCGCTACCTAAATAGGTCATCACCGATCTCAGACCCAAGGCCCAATGAAAATCCTAATTCACACAAAGGTACGTGCATTACTTATACGAGACCCATACATCCACAAACACTAACTTTAGCATCAGAGTCTCTTTTGCAGGTACCACCCCCATCTTGGAGCAACCAGCGTACCAGTGAAGGAGGCTCGCCGATCTTACCCAGCAGATCGTCCCCTACGACCGATCTCCGGTAAGAACATTTGGCGCCCACCGTGGGGCCAATCAAGACGACTCTTATTGGCCACACTTATGATTTTCACTCGAAGCCATAGTAGACGCGCAACAGACGACGCAGATCACACAACAAGCATGGACAACGAAGCAGCATTGAGGAGATTGATCGAACATGTCGAGCAGATGCGGCAGCAACACAATGCCGATCTGCAAAACATCCGTGCCAAGCACGAAACTGACCTAGCAGCACTGCGTACCGTAAACGAGGCTGACCTGGCGACGCTGCACGCCGATAACGAGCATATTCGCGCTCAGCTTCCTCGGCGCCCCTCTGATTAGCCCCCTCAACCGAGTAGTTAACACGAAGAGGAGGGGCACTCGGTCTCTCAACCCCCAACTGCACCTAGGGCACCAACTCCCCGACCTGCTACACATCAGTTGCATGCACCGACAAATAGGTCAGCCCGTGAGGTCAGCATTACTCTTGCCCCAGTCCCTAGAAATCGGGGAAGTATTCATTGTCACCCCTTTGTGGACGGCATCATGGAAACGCCTCTGCCCTTTGGATGGAAGCCCCTCCACATCGACCGCTACAATGGCACGATGGATCCAGACGAGCACATCGACTTATACGTCACGCAGGTAAACCTATACACTAACGACGATGTTGTTCTGTGTAGGGTTTTTCCGACCTCGCTTAAGGGTGCAGCGCTCGCCTGGTATACCCAATTGCCGGCAGGATTGATTGACAGCTTCGACACCCTGGTTAGACGGTTTACGGCGCAGTACGCAACGAGCCGTTGAGGACATTCATAGAGCGTTTTGCCAGCATCTCAATCAGGATTCGAACTCTGAATCCCGAGGTTGCCCTACACGCCATGCTTATGGCGCTCAAGCCCAGACCTTTCATAGACAGCCTGTGTCGAGAAGCTCCTCGTGACATGGACGAACTCCGTGCCCGAGCTGCCGGCTACATCCAGATGGAAGAGCACTCTGCTTTTCGTGACCAGGTCCAAGGAAAATCACAGACAAATTCAGACCAAGGACACAAAGATAAAGTGAAGGTCACCAACGACAGTCAATTCAAGAAGACTGCTAGGGCAAATAAAGGAGGGAGATATGACTTCTACACTCCCCTGAATGCGCCCCTAGTACACATCCTGGAAGAAGCCAGCAACAATAACCTTCTCACCCTGCCACCTCCTAGACACAATCCCAACAGCGCAGACAAAACCAAGCACTACCAGTACCACAGGAACTATGGTCACACAATCGAGGAGTGACGCACTCTCAGGATCGCATAGAGGAGCTCGTCCAGGCGAGACACCTTGGACAATACGTTCAACGGAAGCAGGGCCACCGAGGAGGCTACAATGGAAGAGGACGAGGCAGAGGTCGTGGTTCAGGAGCTCGCACGGACCAACCCTCTAGCTCTCAACAAAACTCCGGTGGCGTAGTACAGGCCGAGGTAAGCCAAGAAACAGGGTCAGCTCCCTTGAGGGGAGTTATCAACACAATTGCAGGTGGTTTCGCAGGGGGAGGCTCTAGCAGTTCAGCGCGAAAAAGGCACCTGTGCAGCATCAACAATGTCCATGTTAGATAAAATCAAGGGGTTGTTTGGAGAATAAAAAAAAATCTCATTTTCTTTATCTACGACGATGGAATATACAAAAATATTATATAAAAAAAAAGTTATACAAAATTATTCAACATAGTCCAATCTCATAAAATATTCATTTATCTCAATATATATTATAATTTTTTTAAAAAAATCTTTCTTCATGTTGAAACTTAAAAACTCTCTCAACAAATTTTATGACAAAACTTGAAAATTCTTGATACAAATTTAATAAAAAAAAATTTGATATACCTTCCTCACAAGTTATTTTATGACAAATGAAACTTGAAAACCTTTGAAACAAATTTTATGATGAAACTTGATAAACCTTTTTCTATATGAATCTTCTCTCATTTAAAAACATTGACCTCCTTTAAAGGTGGATGATTTTTAAGCATGTCAATAATTTATATTTATTGACCTAATGTTTTATAATGGATCACAGTCATATCAATAGCCTTGCTGGGTTCTGTGTGGTTCACTTCCCACACAGGGCAAAACAAGAACCGGTTACTGACACATGGGTAGGATGTAACCCAAGAACTATACACTACAAAACAAGTCAACTACAAGTGGGAATGCAACAAGTAAGCAAGGATAAAAGGTACTACATTATTCAAATGTTAATTAGAAATTAATAGCATAGTAACACGAACAATGAGAGAATAAACTATAAAACAAATTAACATTCTTTCCATCCTTTCAAAGCTTAAGGGAAAATCTTAGAATAATGGATTTAAGCCTAACTCAACCCTACAAAACCAGTTTGTAAAGTGAGGGTTGTTTTCCACTTATATACTATTTAATTGCCTAATCTCTAGTCGATGTGGACTTGTGTTTTTCCCAATACACCCCCCTCACGTCCAGCACTATTAGGCTTAGTACGTGGATAAATGGTAGGTAACCTTTTTTTAATAATCTAAGATTGACAGGACTTGAATACACCCCCTCATGCTCATGGTGCATGTATCAATGAATGGTAGATGGCTCATTTTTAAGAATCTAAGATAAGATAGCTCTGATACCATCTTAGAATAGTAGATTTAAGTCTAACTCAACCCTACAAAACCGGCTAGTAAAGTGAGGGTTGTTTTCCACTTATATACTATTTAATTGCCTAATCTCTAGTCGATGTGCGACTTAGATTTTTCCCAATAGAAAAGGTTGTCCTTTTTCTTTTTTTTGCTCTAATATTGAACTTAAATTTGATCTACTGTGAGCAAGACATTTTATGTTGTCAGTAAACAGAAAACTGTAATGTCATTGTAGTAGTAATCGAGCCTTTCCCTAGCAGCACTACTTTTAACAGCTTTGGTGATAGAGTAAGACTCTTTAAATTTTCGATGGATAAAAATTAGATCCTTTAAATTTAGGGCCAATTTGGGGTGGTCACAAGTTTTCCCTTGGTTTCGAAATACAAATTTCAAAATGGAAATGTTCACTTAAAATGGGACTGAATTGATTATTAAACAAAATTTGAATCACTTTAAGCTTAATTTTTAAAACCATAAAAGGTAGCTTTCTTTTTAGTTGTATAATCAAAGCATTCAATTGACATAGCTTTTTAAACAACTTTGATGGTATGGTAAAACTCTTTAAATTTAGTCTCTTTAAACTGCTAGAGTTATTCAAAATTCAAATCGTGATCTTGGATAGAAATAGACTATGTTGAAAAGAAAATACGTCATCTTTACAACTTTTAGCAGAGATTAGTCATTACTTTTAATAGTAAATACTTCATATTAGTACCACTATCAAGTCCTAAACATACACTCGTATGCTTCAACACACAAGACAATTGTATTGAACAACCAAATAATCGTCAAACTTTTCCTGTCACAAATTATAGCTTAACAAATAGATAGGACATAAGCATTAACAGATTACCTGTTCCTTGAGATTCAGTCCCAGATCGTATTTCTTCTATCGTCACAACACCATCTTCCAGTCCATTATCTTTTGCCTAATCAATATTAAAGCAAATTCAATAACAAGGCATTAAATAACCATTGCAGTATCAAACTAGTAATCTAAAATTACAAACTGTATCAAAATGTCAGCCCAATCTTGAATCCGATGCCAGAGAATAAGACACTTCCTATGTCCTTTATCCATCCATGCTGCACGTCCTGCCAAATTAAAATAACACACTTCAGGCATTTTTCTCTTAGCCAAATACAAGAATTATAAATCCATAGACATGAATGAAGCATACCTTCAGAAACTAACGCTGAAAGGAAAGCTGCTCTGGCTTCATGGGTAAGAGACCCTGCAGGATGAAAAATCTAAAACAATCATACAACAAAAAAAAAACAGAAATAAGCAAGACCAAAAACTAAAGAAGCATTTATTCACCAAAAAAAATTGGCGGAGCATTTATTCACCTAAAAACACTAAAGGAGCATTTACGGGACTACTCAACTTCACATAAAATGACACAAAAGCAGGAATTTTGAGCTTACTTTCAATTACATGATTTGTAAATAGAGGAAATTCTTCTTCAAGTCCAATTACAAATATCTTCTGTGTTTTACAATAATCTAAAATAAGCTCTTTCCATAGTTGTATCTGTTTCTCTCTTGTGTCTCTTACTGGCTGCAAACTGAAAGGTAGAAACAAAGGTGAACCACTGGTTAATTACTACCTCACTCTCAATAATCTTATCAGTAACCCTAAGCAACGAACTTTGCAAACAAAAGAGGAAAAACAATTGAATCACACAACAATAATACAATATCACAAGCAACCTGATAAAATATCCAATGAAAGCAATAGGAAGGTCCCAGCAAATTGACAACAAAGCATTTTTGTTATTCACGGAGGAAAATAAACGATCATATTGTTAGTTTGAAATCTAATAAATTACTTAGAAGAAAATTGATAACAAAGCACCATGAATGAAAAAGAAAAAAATTGCAAAGCATAAAAAAGCTAAAGACAAGGATAAAAAGGGAATTTACGTGAAGTAAGGTGGGTAATTGAAGAAATGTGGTAGTTTGAAGTCAACCAATTTCTGCATCTTTCAAGTGCTTCAATGCTATGCACAGAGATTAACGATCTTCTCAGAAGCTTAATAAATTTTCAGCTAATTACTTGCAGGCACGTAACGAAATATCGTAGCGTGTCATGCGATGCTGTTGATTTGGCGGCTAATTGGTGGAGGGATCGAGACGTTGATGTGAGTGAGGGTGAAGAAATGAAGGGAAACTGTAACTCTGCGAACCCTACCACGGTAACGAATAACGATGGAGGAAGAAGACCACCGATGCAGAAGCACAACGTTGCAAAAGAAACGACACCGTTTTGTACCCATGTGCACCTTTACAAGATTAAATAATAATAAGAAGAATAATAAAAGTTAACAAAATTATTATATTGTTAGTTCATTCTAATTAAATGTTATCATACAGTTGCAATACTAATTAAATGTAAAAATTACTTGAAATAACATTATTTTTTTTATCATAATAACATTATTTTTTTATCATATGAAATTGTAATCATGATGCAAGAATTTCATCTTAAAATAGTGTGTATATTATTTTAACTCTTATCATTAAATTGACTACAATAGTCAAAAGAAGATTGGTTAAAATATAGTTTGCAGTCTTTATAATTTTATTGACTTTATTTTTTAGTTTTTATAATTTAAAATATATTTTTAATAATGTATTTTTCTTTTTTAGACCTTTATATTTTATTAATTTTTTTAACATTATTTTCATATGAATCACATAAGTTTATTATATACATGTGATGATGGTGTATTTGATTTTGTAAATGATGATATGTTACTTAATAGTTTAAGAGAGAGAAAAAATGAAAATTTTGTAGACAAACAATATTTATTATAATTAAAAAAATTTGTCAACAAAATAATAGATATTGTATATATGTTAAAAAGCATAAGTAATACTCAAATGTTTTGCAAGAAACATTCCATAACAATCCTATAGCATAGGAAGTATCAATGGTTACAACATATTTAGTAAATACCCCATATAGATATTGAGTAACCACCAAGTCCCACAACTTGTTATATATTAATATCCAGTTACATATATATATTTTTTTATATTATGATTGAATATTATACAGATATGATCAAATTCTTAATAGTTGCATAATAAATCATTAAGTAACATTTAAAAAATCAAATACATCATCATTACGTACGCAAATTTAATAAGATCACTTCACTAACAAGAAAGCAAAGTTATAAAAAAAGTTAACAGTAATAACTAAAAAAATTATAAAATATAAGTATAAAAATAAAAAAAATATCTATTTTATATTATAGAAACTAAAAGATAAAATTACGAAGACTAAAATTATGTTTAAAAAAAGTTTAACATGATATATACAAATTTGTTTAACAAATAATTTGCAAAAAAATTGTTAATGTTGAATGAAAAAAGAAACATTAGTTAATGAAATTAAGAAAAATAATAAATGTCCTTTAAATAAATAAGATAAAGATTACAATTTTATATAAAATGTTTTAAAGATATGTATCATGAAATGTCTTCTCAAAAGAAAAGTATCATAAAATATTAAAATTTGAAGAAAAGAAATTGTATAAAAATAACCATGTGAGAAAGAGAGCGTGTACAAAAATTATCTCACATTCAAGAATGAAAACTTTATTATATGGGATTGAACTCGTTGATTATGATATTTAGTCAAGTAAAAGATTACTTGTATTTTGATATGCCTAGATTTTTCTTAGTATTTCTCTATTATATTTGTTAAATAGCTTAACACATTAAAAAAAAAATCAATTACTCATTTTTAAGGTTGTTTGGAGAATAAAAAAAAATCTCATTTTCTTTATCTACGACGATGGAATATACAAAAATATTATATAAAAAAAAAGTTATACAAAATTATTCAACATAGTCCAATCTCATAAAATATTCATTTATCTCAATATATATTATAATTTTTTTAAAAAAATCTTTCTTCATGTTGAAACTTAAAAACTCTCTCAACAAATTTTATGACAAAACTTGAAAATTCTTGATACAAATTTAATAAAAAAAAATTTGATATACCTTCCTCACAAGTTATTTTATGACAAATGAAACTTGAAAACCTTTGAAACAAATTTTATGATGAAACTTGATAAACCTTTTTCTATATGAATCTTCTCTCATTTAAAAACATTGACCTCCTTTAAAGGTGGATGATTTTTAAGCATGTCAATAATTTATATTTATTGACCTAATGTTTTAAATTTAAAAGATGAAACAAATTTATAAAAATAGATAAATATATTTTAATTCTATTCAATATCTTCAAAGAAAAATAATATATTTTAAATCTAAATAATATTTTAGATATTATTTGAAAATTCGAATTCTTTTCTAAATATGTTAAAACCTCAAATACTCTTCTTCGTTTCATTCTGTACTATCATGTTTTATGTGAGGAATTCTTATCAAGTCCACAAAGAAAGATAAACACTTTAGACTTATGCATGAATACAAACTTTTTTTTTAATGTATAAGTATTATAATAATATAAAAGATTAACAAATTCTGAGTATTTGTATCATCCAGAGTCATAAACAAAGTGGTTTCTATTAAATGCAACACGCGGTATTGTTATTTGAGGGGTGGGAAGCCAAAAATTGAAAACAGTACAATAAGAAAGAAAGGTGCTTTTCCTTCATTTGCTATGTTTCTGAAAACCAAAAATTTCTGTTACTGTCTTCTATAGCCTAAAGAAACAAAAGTTACGTCAAATTTATCTACTAACTGACAACATCTTTGCTTATTCTTATTAACACTTATAAGTTTGGCATTATTGTCCTCGCACAGGTCAAATATGGAAAAAGTGAAATCCCATTATAAGGAGATTCATGAGGTGTTAGATGAATGATTCCATCAATAATCATCCACTCAACTCCAAGACAACAAAGTGACAAAAGAGAGTTATTGTATTCCTGATAATAGAGAGATAACTATATTTTCTTCACGAGACTATTATAAAACTGTTGTGAATGATTTGCAGCTGATGAGGACACTGCATGCTTCCTATAAAAATGGGACAAGTTTGAACTCGAGTACCACATCGTATAAGTAAATATAAAGAATAACACACTTTATGAGAATTTGTAAAAAAGAGTAGTACTTCAGTAAATATCTTTTTTTTCTCCCATTACTACCTTTAATTTCTAAGTGCCTATCTTAACTCCACGAAGCGGGAAAGTCCGAGTTTTCCCAACACTTCACCTTAGCCGTAGCATTTCCCCTCAAAAGCATCTTCCTACTGAAGTTTTTATTCATTACTCTCATCATTTTTCCTTCTCCAGAATCAGAATAAACGCCCAGGTTTCTTTCAATCTAGATCTTTCTGCAGATGGCTGAGGCTTTGCTAGGAATTGTGATTGAAAACTTGAGATCTTTTGTCCAAGATGATCTTGCAACCATTTTGGGTGTTGACCAACAGATTCAGAAGCTTTCCAGCTATCTCACTGCAATCCGCGCTGTCCTCGAAGATGCTGAGAAAAAGCAAATCACAAGCAATGCTGTGAAGGATTGGCTTCAGAAACTCACAGATGCAGCATATGTGTTGGACGATATCTTGGATGAATGTTCAATACACTCAAAAAGTTCATGCTTATCTCGTGTCCACCCTAAGGACATTCTCTTTCGTCGTGATGTTGGCAAGAGGATGAAAGACATCACCCAAAGGTTTCATGACATTCATGAAGAAAGGAGCATGTTTCAATTAAGTACTGGTGTCACTGACAAGCAAGGAGAGGATGTTGATCAATGGCGCCAAACTAGCTCTGTCATTACTGAACCCATTATCTATGGTAGAGACCAAGACAGAGAGCAAATTGTGGAGTTTCTTTTGGGGCATGCAAGCAACAGCCAAGATCTCTCCATCTATACCATAGTTGGTATGGGTGGACTTGGGAAAACCACACTTGCCAAGCAGGTCTTCAATGATGCCCGGGTAAGTAAACATTTTGACTTGACCATTTGGGTTTGTGTTTCTAATAATTTCAATATGAAGACAATACTGCAAGCCATCATAGAATACACCACTGGACAAAATCCCAACCTCAATACTTTAGAAGCAATGCGGAAAAAGGTTCAAGAAGTGCTGCAGAGCAAGAGGTATTTACTTGTTCTTGATGATGTGTGGAACGAAGACCAAGGGAAATGGAAGGAGTTGAAGGGGGTGTTGCAGTGTGCAAGGGGAACAATTTTGGTCACCACTCGGCTTGAGCAAGTTGCATCCATCATGGAAGCGTTCCGTGTTCATCGTTTGATAGAATTATCCTATGATGACAGTTGGTTATTGTTCAAACATCATGCATTTGGATATGACAGAGAAGAGAGTGAAGAGCTTGTTGAAATTGGCAAATATATAGTGAGGAAATGCGTTGGTTCACCCCTTGCAATCAAAACACTGGGAAGCCTCTTGCGTGGTGAAAGTGAAGTACAACAATGGCAGAACATAAAGGAAAGTGAGATTTGGGATATAAAGGAGGAAAGTTGTCTCACAAGTGGGGAAAACTCTATCCTGCGTGCTTTGAAACTGAGCTACGTTAATTTAGACTTATCACTAAGGAGATGTTTTTCCTTTTGTGCTATTTTTCCTAAAGGTTCTGCTATTGTCAAAGAAGAACTGATTCATCTTTGGATGGCTAATGGGTTTATTAAACCTGAAGGTAATTTAGAAGTGGATGATGTTGGTCATAAGGTGTGGAAAAAATTATACGGTAGATCATTTTTTCAAGAAGCAAAGTCTGATGAGTTTGGTATCATTACAAGTTTCAAGATGCATGATTTATTTCATGATCTTGCACAGTTCGTTGTGGGTGAAGAATGTGTGGTTTATAAGTCAGAAAAGTTGACTCATTTGTGAAACAAAGTTCACCATTTAAACTTGTTAGAACGTAATGAGTCAGAGTCAGTCAATAAGGCTTCCTTGGATAGAGTTGAATCCTTGCGGACTTTTCTTGATGACTCGTATTGGTACAAAAAAAATGTTCCTCTGTTGCCATTAAACAATAGTCTCCGAGCATTAAAGATATCTTCTCGTCAAGTGTCACCTGTCATGGATTTAACACATTTGAGGTACTTAAATCTGCATGGGAGTTATGTCATATGCTTGCCTAGATCTATTTGTAGGCTTGAGAAATTGCAAATATTGAAACTAGAAGAATGTCACAACCTTCTTAGGTTGCCCAAACACCTGACACAATTACAAGATTTAAGACATATTGTGATCAATAGATGTGTCTCATTACTAGTGACACCTCCCAAAATGGGCAAGTTAAGGCATCTAAGAACACTAAGTAGTTTCATTGTGGGTTCAAAGTCAGGATATGGGTTGGAAGAGTTACATGGCTTAAAGTTGGGAGGCAAGCTGCACATCAAAGGCCTGGAGAATGTCCCAAGTGAAGGGAATGCTAAAGAAGCAAATTTGATTAGTAAGAGGGAGCTGAATCGTTTATACTTGTCGTGGGGTCATTCAGAAGGTAGTAATGTTAATGCTGAGCGAGTACTAGAAGGCCTTGAACCTCCCTCAACTCTCAAAAGTTTTGGGATGAATGGATACAAAGGAATACAATTATCGAGATGGATGAGAAACCCTTGGGTTCTGAAAGACTTGGTAAACGTTTTACTGTACAAGTGCGTGAACTGTAAGGAGCTTCCCCCACTTGGTAAGCTAGCACATTTAAAAAGGCTATACATATATGGAATGAAAGATGTGAATTACATAGATAGTGAATCATATGATGGCGTGGAGGAGAAGGCCTTTCCATCGTTAGAGACATTCGTGATGGAGGATTTACCAAATTTGGAGAGGATATTGAGAGATGAAGAAGTAGAGATGCTCCCTCGTCTTTGGGAATTAAGTATTAAAGGTGTCCCCAAACTTCAATTCCCAAGTCTTCCATCTGTTGAGAAATTTCGTGCCCGTGAGATTGAGAACGAGGGTTCCTTCATGGAAGGGGTTGTTGGAAATTTGCCTTGTCTTAAGTCCCTCAGCATTGTCTCCTTTAGCAAACTGAAGGTACTACCGGAACAACTTGGCAGGCTTGGTGCACTAGAGGAACTTGTCATTGAATATTGTGATGAACTGGAGTCTTTTCCGGAACATGTGTTGCAAGGTCTAACTTGTCTTCGAAGATTGAGAGTTTATGGGTGTAAGAAATTAAAATGGTTATGTGAAGGTTTGGGGCATTTAGCTTGTCTTGAGGATTTTTGTGTTTTGAACTGTCCAGAGGTGGTGACTCTACCAAGCAACATGAACCAACTAACTGCTCTTCGGGAAGTGACGATTAGCGGTACATTACTAGAATGCTTTCAAGGTATCCCCTCCCTGCAACGATTGTATTTAAGCGAATGTAGTTCATTGCCAGAGTGGGTGGGAGACATGACTTCTCTTAAGGAATTACAAATATCTGGAAACAGGGAGTTGAGGTCACTGCCAAGTAGCATTGGAAAGCTCACCAACTTGAGTGTATTAATGATTTACAATTGCTCGGAGTTGACGTCACTACCAAGTAGCATTCAATACCTCACCAACTTGAGTGAATTATATATTGACTGCTGCCCTCAGCTGGAGAAGCGGTGCAAGAGGGAAACAGGAAAAGATTGGCAATATATAGCTCATATTCCACATCAAGGAGTGGTTAGCTTCTCTAACAGAGAACCCACATATTATGGTAAATTCATGAGCCTTTTCTTTGTCTCCTAAACATGCAGAGTGTGTATGATTTATGTTTAAATATTGCATATTGCATGCAGACAGAATTCAATCCTTATGGACAGCTTGCAACACGACTGGAATGCGCTCTGCTATACACTTTTGGCAACATAATACTCCAATAGATCAATTTGACAGGATTGTTGAGTAAGTTACATCCTAAATTGTCAAGCTGTTTATTTTAAATAAAATATGTTATTAAAAGGTTAATGATCTAATTTCAAATTTAATCAAGATATTTATATCGTTATATTTTTTTTATTTTACTTTTTACATAATCAAACTAAAAAATTAAAAGCACCGAAACAAAATAATACAAATTTGAATGAACTAAAATAAAAAATTAAAACTAAAACAATTTTATTTTATATAGACTAAATATGTATCGAATTTAATTTAAAATTTTAATTTTTAAATATAACTGTATTTTAACTTGTATAATGTATAGACATATTTATTATATAATTGAATTTTATAATAAATTAATAAATAAATATTATATTTGAATATATAAACTATATTTAAAATTAATGTACATAAATATTTTTAAACATTTAAGTTATATTTTAGATTTATGAATAATCATTTGTATTGTAAAAAAAATTATTTATATTTATTAATAATTTATTTTAAAATATTAATATTTAATTTATAAATAATTATGATAAATAAAAAGCGAATTAGGTAATAAGTTAAAATAATTCATACAAGCTCTCTTATTAAAAAAAAAAATAACTCCTAAAAACAATCTCACATAAGATAAAGGTTCATATTTAATATATAAAGATTAATAAATATATAAATACATATTAAAAAATATAATGAATGTAATAATAATTAAAAAAAATTTAATTATAAAAAATAAACTCATATCTTCATAAAAGTCATACTAAGACAAATCACTCTTACAAATGTAAAAAAAAATTATAACAAATAAATAAATAAAAATTAAAATAAAAAGAAGATAAAGATAACCAAATAAACCTTACCACACAAGCATAAATAAAAGAAATAAGAAGATCGAACAAAAATTAAATTAACATCTTTTTTATATCACAACAATATTTTTTATAGATTACATTAAAAAAAATCACCTTTTATTATTTCATGTGTTATCACACATTTATCATATTTCATATTTTATTTTTATTTGTTATATCCTTTCATAACTTAAAAGAGATTATAACTTAGTGGAGAAGAGAATTAGGAAGTGTATTATAGAGTATTTTTCTTCATCATTAGGTTAAAATCTCATCCTTAGTGGACTTTTGGTATCCAAGCTTTTGTTTGACAACAGTAACTTTAACGCACACGACACTAGCAGACCCAATTTCATTTACAGAGAAGAAGAATCATTTTAGGTACCAAATAAAATTATAAGGTTAAGAATTGAGATTAATGTAACTCTAAACAACAATGCTCTACTACACACCACTTAATTCCTTTCCCCACTCTATCATTAATGTGATGTGATTGACCAATAACTGTTCCTTTGTATTCAATTTTTTTTGTTGGTTTCAATCCATTACCTTTTACTTTCTGTAACCATGATTTTACTTTCAGGTGGGATTGGTGGTAGTGAATTCTATTTATCATAAGTATTCCCGGCAGACTGTAACACGGCCATGAAAGGTATGTTAGAATCTCTATCAATTCCAAATGGGCAACTGGCTACTTTCTGCATGTATTTTACATTTCTTTGTTATGATATTAGTTTCAACTTCAAGTATGTAATTTTGTAAAACAAAAAGAACTTAAAGTATGTAAAAGCATAGTTACATTGATATGTCTTTTGTTTAACATGAGATTGTTGAACCTTCCCTTTTATATGTGTTGTACAGGTTTTGTCTTTTAGTCCCAAATTCGGGCTTACATGGACAATGGGCATCCATCTATCCTACTGTTACTTCATGGATCTAATCTCATTTCATTAGGATATCAATCTATAATTCATCAAAAGTCCAAGTAATTGAGACAACTTGTGTAATTGTTTTCTATTCTATTTTACGTTTAAGAACAATCATGTTACCAATTTATTTCTAATTCCCATCCGTCATGTGTTAGCTCTATTAAGAACAATAACTTGACGAACTTGTTCTTATCAACACTATATATTTATAAATAAATATATATCATATATTTATGAGAAATTTGAAATAATAAAATTAAAAAATAATTTACAAAAAATGTAAGAGGATTTTGAGTTAAATATATTTTTAGTCCATGTAAAATGAACAAGTTTTATTTTTGGTTCTTGTCATTTTTTTTTTATCTTTTAAAATTTAAAACTATTATTTTTAGTTATTGTTATTATGTACTCATTTTTAATTACTTACTTGTTTATTAAAAGGTCAAGTGATCTTCTCAAGTGTTATTATGTTAAGAGATATTATATTATTATGTTAGTATGTGATATTTCTAAAATTTTTTAAGTCTTAAAAATAAATATTATTTATCTACCTTAAAATTATCATTGATAAGTAAATGTATGTGATATATTTTCAAGAAATTTGAAATAATTAAATTAACAATTAACTTATAAAAAATATAAAAGAATTGAGTTAAATTAAAGGTTTTTAATACATGAATCAAATTTATAAATTTTAAAAAAATTTAAAAATTATTTGATATTTCGTTTCACTAATTCAAATTGATAAATAATCATAAAAATATTTTATAAGTTAATGTAAATTTATAAACGAAATGTACTATAATTTTCAAAATTTTAAAAAATTTGTAAACTTAATATTTACATTTTAAACATTTAATTTATGATAATCTAAGATAAATTATTGAGTAGTATAACTTTATCAATAGTTACTTTTTAAGTAATTTAATCATTTCTCTTTATTTAAAGGAGTAATATTTAAAGTTTAACATGTACAAAAATATTGATAATCTTGCCCGTCTTTTACCATTTGAGTAAAGACATGCAAAATTACTTTTTATATTATTTTTAATTTAAAGAAATTATATATACTTTTTAATGGAAGCAATCTTGCTTGTCTTTTTACCATGTGAATCAAAGATCATAATTTTATAATTTCATATCATATAATATTCATAATAAGATAACAATATAAAAAAAACGTTTACACTGTTGGTATATTACAAATATCCAAACATGAAACTTATTTCATATAATTATAATAACAATCAAATATTAAAATAATTTATTATTCACAATTAATCCAAACACTCACTCTTTAAAATTGTATAATCAAATTTTAGAACTAAATGCTTTTCTATTGATGAAATAACTAAATTATTCAATCTCTTCAAGTACATTTGACGACAAAAGAAATTATTAACTTTAATTTCGAAAGTTTTCATTCTATCGAAATGAATGGTAACATGAATAATTAAAACTTCTATGCTATCCATACTTTTAGAAAAGAGTTTACCTTTTCTACAATATTTAATATTTCAAGTTATGCTTTAGTTTTAAATTTATAGTATCTTTCAAAGTTTTTGCTTCTGAATATAATTTAATGTTCAATATTTTGTACATATAATTTAAAAATTTGAGGCCCCATTTTACATCTTGAAGAATGGCAGGGGAAACAAAGTTCATCAAGTTGATTCATCTATACAATCATGCCCAGACAAGAGAAGTACACTTTCTATTTGATGTATTAAAAATGTTACATGACATTAAATTATGTTGAACTAACCAATCTTGCCGAAAAGCACCCCTATAGTGTGGAACTCTTACTTCCAAGATATGAATTCTAAAATATACAAGATTTGCAGTGGTATTATTACTTCCTATATATAATACAAGAAATGGTGCTACTAAACATTGCTTTGCACCAAAAACAGATTCTTAATATTGCTATACACTTGCATAGCCCTCCTTAGGAGTATAAGATGGATCGAGCCATCGAGGTGCCAACAATTTCAGCCAATTATTGCAAGCAAGCTTTGTCTAACTGCTGGAATTGAGCAAAGTATAGATCCAAATATACCATTCAGAGCATAAGCAATGGCACAAAATGGGAGAGCCTCAGGTTCCTTGGCAGATAAAGCTGCTGTTCCAAGCCCGTGAGCACTGTACAAATTGATTCAAGAGAAAGGAAATTAAGCATATATGCTTGGGGAAGAAAATAGTTTATCTACCTCAATGCCATGTTTCCTAAAGTAATACTATTTCTCCATATCCAAACTACAACTCAACTAAATTTGACAAAGTGTACTGAACTACGGTCAAATCTCAACAACCATTAATTATGATGGGAGAAATGCTAGAAACATACTTTCTGACATCTCTTTTGAATGCACTCCTTCTCTTTTATTGGTTATTTATTAAAAATCATAAAATTTGGTGAGTCTTACACCTTATTTAATAATCTCTCATAAGTTAGAGAGTTTATTGCTAAGACTATTCATTATGATGATATCTAAGTCAAATGAATGATCTATGAATTGCAGAATATACCTAGATGCGGTTGCTATACCACGAGCAATTGGATCACGAAGTCGAAGTTTATCTAGTGTTGATTGCACAAAATTTGCTCCAACCAGACCAGTTACCACAACCGCTGCTGCTGTGACAGATGCATTGGCACCTGCCAACATGGCAAAATTTCACAGATCAAATAATCTCTCTTTTGCTTGGTAGACCATAAACAAATTAGGAATTCAGATTCAGACTAAGTAACCTTTCTACATTTATTGCATTAGTTCCAATGTAGAGTCACTTGATGCATAATGATTATGATAAATAGCTATGCAAAACATGATACTTACCTTCAAAAAAAGACACAATGCTGAGAGCCAATGCCACTGTTATACATCTTGGTAGAATGGATACAGTTAAAGATGGTTCTAAAGCAACTAGACGTCCAACTAGGGCAGTTGAGTACAATGAGAACACAGTAGAGATGATGACAGAGGTGAAAATCTCAGCTGCATGCCTTTTTACAAGCTGAACACAGTAGATAAATCATTAGTAATGCTTTAATGGATTTTAACCATTATCTGTTAATTAAAAGGATAAGGAAGACATGTTTTGTATTTGGGACTTTGGCTACATATCATGCTGATGGATGATAATCTAAATATTTGGTGCACAGAAAAACAAGACATGCAGAGTACGATCAAACTCTATGATGTAATTTGCAAATGACTATCCTATAAACCTTATAAAGGTCTAACCTAATTTCGAAACAAGGAACAGATAAAAGAAATGCCTACTGCCTGGCCACATGTAAAGAGTTGAACTAGCAGGCTGGCCAACTGAAAAGAACAGATTGAACTCATTGAAGCAAGTATCATGGTACAATTATAATAGTAATATTAAATTTTTCTATGTTTGTTCTCAAGTTTTCAAATGCTTATTAGATCTGTTAAAATGAACTCATTATCATTAATCCACCTAAGCATTTTCATTCTTTTCTTTTAGGGGTTGGGGGCAAATTGGGAGAAAAGCTATTGGCATGAAGAATATGTACAATTCACTTTAAGGAACTGCTATAGCACATCGTTAACTATTTACAACTCACTGACTCAGTAATAGCATATCAAGCATTGGCCAGGAATAAGGTTGACAGCAACTTGCCTAACTTAGAGAAAAATCAAAAGAAACAGCCTGCAAAGTAATGAGAATATATTGTTTCTATTTGCTTTACTTTTTTTATGCATTATAGGATTTATGTAGTGATAATTACAACTCTAGATGGATACCTTTCTTTGTTTGAACATAGAGAAGGCAAATGAGAGAATAACAGATCCCAAAAATCCCATTAGAATGTCACCAGCTCCGGGATTAGACGATGAGTTTGTCAGGTAATATCCTGTGAATGCCGAAAAAAGAATCAACAAATTTATATTGAAGCCGAGTCATTACATAGATGTTAGTGTCTATTGAAAGATTTGCACAACAATAAGATAAATAAAAGGAAAAAACATACAGTGAAAAAATTTTAAATTAATGTTGTTATCAGACCATAAATCAAACCAAATAAAGTGAGGTTAGCCCAAGATTAACTTGACATGAGTCATTTTTTTAGTAATCCATTGTCATACCAAGTTTAATTAATGATTAATCACATTTGAACTTGACTTGGAATGGAAAAAGACTTCAAATGCTTATAATAACTCATAGGCTTAAATATGTTTTTAGTCCCTTAAATTTATGATAAATTTATTTCTAGTCTCTCAAATTTAAAATTGATCTTTGTAGTATTTGTTATTTAAATCAAAAAAAGAAAGAAAAAAAACTTGTTTTAATCACTAGGATCCCCCAATAATATCACTGATAGGGACAAATTAAGTAGATTCAGTCAATTATGTAGCACCAACCGGATTTTATATGATGTTTTTATTAACAATGGCAGAGTAGGTAGGCTTCGTATAGTAGAGTTTTGTCTAACAGATTCATTAAAAACATTTATGTAGAGAGACTAAAATAATTTTTTTTAAAATCAGAAGATTATAAAAATCAATTTTAAATTTAAGGATCAAAAACAAATATAGCCAAAATTAAAAGGACTAAGAACATATTAAAGCATAACTCATAAGATATCTATAGTCAAAATAGAAATTTATATTTCCTTATTAAAGTTGGCAACCAAAGAACAACTTGGTGCTCATTTGGATTACCATGCAAGTGCTTCAGAACAATGTTTGGGCAAAAGGAGGATTTTTTTTCTTTTCATAAAACTTGCCTCATAACGTTCAATTTTAGCTTTTGCAGTGATTTTTATCTAAAGCAAACAAGCTCATAATCGTATACAATATATAGAGTTGAATATTTAACTTCTAATTATTAATTTATACCTAGAATAGCATCGAGCCCTGACTTGGAAAGAAACCCAAAAGCAACTGCTGTTAGCTCAGTAGATAATGCACAGAAAATTATTGGATGGAAGACCTTCTTCACAATTGATGGCAATCTGAAAACAAAATATCAAGAAAAGGCAAAACTATAGTTATATTATAAAATGCATATCATGTTCCATGAGAATAAGTAATTGTCCACAGAAACAGCCATGTAAATAGTAATTTTCAATGTGTACATGAAGTGATGAAAAGGAACCTTTACCCAGAACCAATCATGTAGCCTAACACTGTGGACGCAAGCAAGAACGGAAGGTATGTTATGGCTCTTGTCCCCAGTAATGTTGGGTAAAACAATGAAGCAACAAATGATATAAGGAAAACCCCAGTCCATGCCCACACTTCAATGGAAGAAAATGGAGAGGGCTTCTCCATCGGCTCAGCATCTAACAATTCTGTCTTCACAGCTTTCCTTACACCTATAGCGGTCAAACCAGCCACACAAAGTGTAGCTAGCCATCCTCCAACTGCACAAGATTAACAAGTCTCAACTCTCATCATGAAATCGTAACAAACATTTAGGGCATGTTTGATTCACTTTCCAATTTTTTATTAAAAAAAAACATTTCTAAAACAATTTTGTGCTACTCACTAGTCAATTTCTCACCTAAAATCTATCAAGTTAAATCTTTTTTTAAAAGCTCATATTAATCACACTCTGCTCACCACTCACTCACGTCAAGAGCTAACATTGTAGGTAATCTAATAACGACCATAACAGATGATCAGATAATGTCAATGACACTAGCTATTATAAACTCTAATATCATGTTAAAAAAGTGAATTATCAACCTAACATAAACTTGAGAAAGATTAATTCTTACTTATATACATTATTAAGGTCATCTCATTAGTGGATGTAGGATCTCTAATATAGAATATGCATCATCATAAGAGTGTATGAATTGAAACACCATCTTCATACAATAAGAGCTTGTTGAGTAATGTGTACCTATAATAAGGCAAATTTTGATGGCAGAAGGAGTTGGAATATCTTTAATCGAAAGGGGCAGCACAACCAAATAGGGAACATAGAACAAAGGGAGCCATCTCTGAATGAACATAAAGCCCGGTTCAAAGAACTTCACCATGGCCACAGCAGCAGAGGGAACAGCACAATCAAGAATAATCAAAACAGAGAAAATACAGAACATCCCAAACAAGGCACTTGGGAACTCAATCGAGGCTGCTACGAAGGCTTTTTTCAAGAGAAAATCCATGGCCAGAAAGAGGCCAAGGGAAACAACCCAATGTAGCACACCAAACACTTGAAGACGCAAAGTTAGGGTCACAGACTCATTGGTAGTGCCCCCACTTTGGGACTGGAGCAATTCTGTGCAAAGTTCTTCACTTTTGCAAATTTCCGGGGTACCCATTTGCTAAGAAGCATGAATTGAGTCCAATTCCTTGGATTGATACGGTGGTTGAATAAATGAGTGTGCAAAAGGAATAACTTTTTTCTTTTAATTATTAAGGTTGGAAGGACAAGGGTCAAGGATGTTGATTAAGAAGAGAGAGACAAATTCCTAAAAGAGCGTGTGGACATATCCCTGCCATGGAAATTGCGACTGGTTACTATCCCACTCAATGATTGTAATTTGAAAACTAGTTTAGTTCTTGAAATTACAACACCTGTATTTTCTTGATATTTTAGTCCGGGTGTGGGGTGTCTTGTATTTATTTTAAAATATATATTCACTGTGTGTATTGATAATAAAAATGATTTCAAAAATTATTTGTTCATTGAATTTTTAAAGAATCTAATTAAGTCTTTAGATTAAAACATATATATTTGTATTTTTTTATTTTTATAATTTAGTCTATGAAACTAGAAATTCACTTATAATACATAAAATTTGATATAATATTTCTTATATCTTCATAATTGAATTGTTATATCATATTATTGTATTATGTCATCATCCATATATATATATTAAGATTTTAATCTTTTGCCTATGAAAATTATGATAATATTTTATATCATATAAAATAATAATCTAATATAATTGTGAAGTATAAGTATATAAAAAAAAATATTTTGAAAATTTTTATAAATTTTAAAAAAATTTCTAACCTTAGATTAAATTGCAAAATAAATATAAAAATATGAATAATTTAATGATAATTTTTTTTAGTTTAAAGACATAATTCAAAATTCTCAAAAGTTCATAAATCAAAAAATGTATTAAACCTTGTAAAATTTGTTAACTTATTAAATACTACCTTTGATTATTTTTGTATGATAAAAAATTTCAAATTAATTTATTTTTATTTATCCCAAAGACCCAATCTATTTTCTTAAGTATTAATTCTTTTTTACAAAAATATTCTTATAAAATACATTTTTTTAGTTCAACAAGTAAATGAAATTCATTTAACTTACATATGCAAATAGACTATTTTTTTTATTAAAATGCAAAATCTTTGAAAACATTACATTGATCACTTCCTTTGAACCATTATCTTACCCAATTAAGAATTAAATTGAATTGTAAAGTGTTTCATTGATTAAGATAGTTTTGAAACCAAAAATAAAAATTGCATATATTAATTTTAATCAACAAACCAACTTGTCTTATCTGAGAACTAACTATTTGCATTTTTTTAACAAGAGTGAGATATAGTAATGTTTAATTCATTTTGTAGGATAGCTATTGATATAATTAACTATTTAACTTTTATAACTCAATCCACTCAACTCACTAATCTTATGAGTCAATAAATGAGTGAAAGTATTTAATATAATTTTATATTCAAATTTTGAAGTTAAAATAGTTAGTTAAGTCAAAATAACTCATATTAGTTAATCATGCACTTAGACTCACTAATCTTATGAGTGAAAGTATTTAATGTAATTTTATATTCAAATTTTGAAATTAAAATCGTTAGTTAAGTCAAAATAACTCATATTAGTTAATCATGCACTTAGAGACGAGTTAGATTTTTACATTGTATATTAATTTAATTTAAGTTTAAATGCATTTTTAGTCCTTAAAGTATAATAATTGTGTAAACTTAATCGTGTGCAATTTTAGTGCTTATTACAGTTATGCAATTTTAGCCTTTTAATTTTTAATTTAACAATATTAATCCATAAAAAGTATCGCAATTATCATTTATTTTATTTTACTTATAAGAGAGAGAGAGAGATTGATGTAGTAACATAAATCTGTTTGGATTAAAAAAAAATTAAAAAAGAACTTGAATTCTAATACTTAGTTAAAATGGTTAAACTGAAATTCAAACAAAGACAGTATCAGAGAAAACTCATTAAAGTTCAAACCTAAAGTAAGACAATTACTAGAATGACCTCATAATATTGAAAACACCCGGGAGTTAAATTTATAGAATGCCGGGTTTCGCGATTTAGTTTTTATTTATTTATTAAAGCAATGAAATCATTCCACTATTGTCTTTCAGAAGTCTATTTCTTCAACATAGGATACAACAATGACTAGTAAAAGAACAACAACAAAAAAATCAGTATACGAGTATCATTTAATTTGGAGATATGCAGGGCAGAAATTTCTGGTGATATGATATCGTGACATAGTGTTCTTCAATCCTTTAGTAGCCCTCACGATGCACGTATGTATGAATAGATTCACTCAACAAATTGTGTTAAGACAACCCACTTTCCAAAATTGTCAATGCATTATAGGTAAGAAGTCAAGCAATTCCTCAGCTGCCTTCTTAGGATCTTCCCAGTCGGAGACCTTGGTATCTTGTTAATGAACAACACTTTCCTAACCTTCTTATATGGAGCAACCTTCCACAAAAGAGTTACAAATGGTAAAAAATCTTAGTAGCTAACAATAACATAACATAACATAATTAAAATACTAGCTAGCTGATGAAACACCTTGATATATGATGCATAAATGTGAATTGATATATTATAGCACTTAAAAGTCTGTGTTATCAGGACGAACCTGTTCAGCTACGTAATCCATAATATGCTTAGGAGACAGCACACTTCCAACCTTCCTGACCACAAATGCCACTGGCATCTCCCCAGTTTCTTTATCCATAGCACTGAAAATGGAAAGTGATGCAACACTTATGATATATTTTGATGACCAGAGAGGAGCTTTAAAAGTATGGATAACTATTATGTGCACAAACATATATAGATATTTGGATCATTCTAAAAACAAATAATACCAACAAACAGGGTGAACTTGAAACTTATAAATGGAGTACACACATGCAGGGGAACTGAGAGCTGATAAACAAAGATACTTCTCTTGCTTAAGGTGTCAGACATGTTTCTAATATTGACACCTTCCAGTATCATGCAGATATGTATCAATGTCCTACATTTTGTACATTAGCACTCTTAAATAGTGTTGGTGTTTCATAGAGTTCATCCTTACCCAGTAACAGCAACATCAACTATTTCGGGATGCAACATTAACACAGCTTCTAAATCAGCAGGAGCAATCTGTCACAGATCATTTGCCATGTGTAAGAATATGTGTACAACACACAAATTGTGTAAACATAAATTGTAATATTAAACAACAAATCCTCCCCGTGATTGAAAATTGTGCAATGTATAAACAAATGTATTCGGAAAATACAATCCTACCTCCTATAAAGTAAACCCTTTTATAACTAGGCATCCAAGTGCTTTACAACAAGGTTTGCAGTTTCTTCTGAAAATATATCAAAATCCATCATTCCCCAGTCAGTATTTTATTTTTTACTACATATATTTCATGTCATTCTAAGTCGATCCGGATTATATTTGATCAATCCAATAAGCATTTCATGTGTTCCTCTGAACAACAACTGTACTACATTTGATCAATCCAACTGCTTTACAACAAGATTTGCAGTTTCTTCTGAAAATATATCAAAATCCACCATTCCCCAGTTAGTATTTTATTTTTCTACTACATATTTCATGTCATTCTAAGACGATCCGGATTATATTTGATCAATCCAATAAACATTTCATGTGTTCCTCTGAACAACAACTGTACTATACCCTTGCATTTGAACATGAGATGCTTTTAGTCATTTACCAAGTAAATGAAGTGCTTAAACAAATACTAGGCGCTCAACAAAAATATTCTGTCGGATGTTTATAAGCAGCGAAATCTATCTCAAAATACAGTTGGCCTACTACCAGCTGCTCCACTGTGCACTAAATAAAGAAAGCCTATTTGTATTTGTTGTACATTATTAAATTTACTAGTAGACACAGGTATAGTTCCATACAGAGTGCATTTTTGTCAACTTCTGAATGTATTTATTTATTGTTCAAGGGAGAACCAAACTGAACAGGGAGAAGGGGGTGAGGTTTGAAACTACAGACTCTCATTGCATGTCCCACAATCCTATCAAAAACTACAGCCGTCTCAAGGGAACAGTTTCTTATTTATATAAGTGTATGTGGATATGCATGAGCAAAGGTTGTTATTTAATCAAAATTATTTTGCTTTTTTACATTAAAAATTTAAAATTATTAATCCAAAAAATAGATACCTGAAAGCCCTTGTATTTGATGATATCTTTCAAGCGGTCAGATATGTGTAAATACCCATCATGATCAAAATAAACAATATCTCCGGTATGTAACCAACCATCATTGTCAATTGTTGATATTGTAGCTTCCTCATTATTCAAGTATCCTGAGAAATTAAGTAAAAAAAAATCAAATTAAATTATTTCGATTAAAATAGCAATGAAATAGGCCAAAAAGAAAGTATTAGTGGATGTGGGCTTGGCCTGATTAGATTTAGGAACAAAAATAGGAACACACACCTCTAATATAGGAAAATTAAAGAAACAAGAAGTCAAAGCAACCAACTTAACCAGTTGCCTTGAAGAGAAATTTTAATTCACGTTTCTCTAAGCTAAATAAACAGAAACTTATTTGTAACATTTTACTGGCAAGGACATTAAGAGGTATCTTTTAACTGAACAGGTTCCAATGACAGCAACATCTGATTGTAAGAACTAAAACAAGTAAATCAGTGTTTGGTTCAGGTTATTTTGAGAAATAATCGCTTATTTTTATCCACTTCCCCATAAAGATTTAAAGAAAAAATAAGCAATTATTTCTGAGAAATAAGTTGTTCCCAAACACCCACTAAAACTAAGTGCATGTTTGGTTTCACATCCATGATCCATGATTAAGCAAGAATCACATTAAAATTGATGCAAAAGCAACTAATTGTTACTTCCATTAGTTCACATCCAACCAACCAAAATTGACATGAATCTAAACATGCTTTAAATTACTTGCTCCATTCATATATTTAAGGCTAGAAACACTAACAGATAAGCTTATAATATCACTCACTGGAAGACAACTAAAACATAAATGGAGTTTCTCAGACAAGTTTTTCGTGTACATGAAATATAATGTGATACTGAATTATTATTGTAAATAAGAATGTCTTTGAAACTGATATGACAATTTCCTAGTGAAGCAACCTAATATTTTATACATAATAAATGAATAAGCTTAATGTTTTCAATTTCATACCAATTCCGGAAAACAGAGTTTTACCTCTCATAATTGAAGGCCCTCTCAACCAAAGCTCACCACTGCTGCCTGGGGGCAAAAATGCACCAGTATTCCAGTGTAGCACTTTTGCCTCCATGTTTGGAGCCAATAACCCTATTGAAGAATAATTGCGAAACTTTTCAGTATTGAAGCCACGTGTTCCTACTGCAGTTGACTCAGTCATTCCATAACCCTAAAAAGAAACAATCTTACAGCTGCACATTCTTAAAAATCTAGGGAAGCAACATTACTCTAAACAAATTAAATTTTAATGTTCCAGCAGTAGTTGCTGATGTGAATATTAATCGCAGACACACACATGGTACTGAGCCTATTGACTCGAGCAACGAAATGGCATCAACATTCAGCTTATTACAACAATCACACACAGAGACAGACACATATATACATGGTATTGACTCTAGCAATTAGATGACTCGCATTCTTTGAATAAGACAATCTTGTTCTAAGGTTCTTTACCTGTATAAAATCAACATTAGGGAAGGTTTGGAGAAATTCACTAATAACTCCTGTGCTCAAAGGCGCTGCACCACTGGAAACCTGAATCAAACTCTGCAATTTACAGCTATTCATACCCTTTGCCCTCGTTATCAAAGCCGTCAACATGGGCGGAACAACAGGAAAGTGTGTAACTTTATATTCATCAATCACCTTGACAACCTCATCTATGTCAAATTTCCTCATCACAACAACAGTAGAACCCAAAGACAGCAACCCAACAGCAAATAGCGACAAACCATACACGTGAAACATCGGCAAAACAGCCAGATACACATTCCTCAAGCAAGAGTATTCATATTGAGAAGCTTCAAATCTCACAAAAAGCTCAACCATAGCAATAAGGTTTTTATGTGACAGAACAACCCCTTTGCTCACCCCAGTAGTCCCTGAAGAATACAATATCCCTGCTGTGTCATCCTGCTTAATAACCGGTCTCTTAGGCAAATCAAACTCACAAGAAATCAACTCACAAAAGCATGAGAAACGAGCATGCTTCAAACCCTTCTCATTCTCTGGCACAGCAACAATGGGAATCCCCAAGGGCTCTAGTTTCTTGAAATTCTCAGGCACAGTAAAAGCCAGACTCACACCACACTCATTAACCTGATTGCGTATTTCATAGACACTACAAAGAGGATTCAAGGGTGTGACAACAGCACCTAGGTAGAGAACAGCCAAAAACACAACGGGGTAGTAAATGGAGTTAGGGAGAAGAAGCAAGACCACGCCACCTTGTGAAACACCCATTTTGTGAAGACCAGAGGCAATGGATTTAACCAAAGGTAACAACTTTGAGTAGGAAATGGAGGACCCAGATGAGGAATCAACGAGGGCAGAAACCCCATTATGGCGGTGGGAAAAAACGAAGGAAACGAGGTCGAGAAAAGGGTCGGTGGGAAGGTCCATGGGAGCGTGTTTGCTTTGGTAAATACCGGTTTTTGGGGAGAACCAATGAGGGTGGTGAGTGAAGGGCATGTCGCAGTTTACGTTTTCTGCCATTGGTTTGGATAGAAGAGTGCAAATGTGAAATGCAGTGAAATTACGAAGAATGGTTACATTTGAGTACTACAACTAGAGTGACATAGGGAACAACATGGTGTAATGGGAATAATGGAATCAATGTTCGGCGCAAAAAAAAAAGTGGAGATCTAGATGGTATTTGTGGCAATTTAATTCGCTCCGGAAATTGGGTTCCCGCGGGAACAACTCCACATGTGGAGTTTCAATCCGGCTTCTTTTCTCTCGCTGAAAGAGGAACCATATCAAGACAATAAACGTTAACAATTGAATAATTCAATTTTGCCACTAAATTTTTTAGCTTAAAATAATTAAATTATTATTTGCACCTCTAAACATTTAGAAATTTATAATGCCAACATTTTGTTAGTCAAAATAGAATTAGGTTTAGATCTCTCAACTTAAAATTCTGGTAATATTTAGTAATTGAGAGGAAAGACTGTTAATATAGTCTTTAGTTGAAAGAAAATTAAAAAGATAATTCTTTTTTATAAATTTTTGTTGTTTGGTTCGACTTTTAGAAATAAAAGAGATTAGTGGGAAGATATTATTATCATAATTATAATTTTTATTATCGCCGTTACAATTTTTATTGAAAAGAAAATTTCAATTGGAATTCTTCGGTTAACTTGCGATAAAAATTATTGATCTGATAAGTTTCTTTCAAAGTACAAGGTTATTGTGATTTGGCTTGAATTAAATATATTTTATTTTTCTTTGTTATTACAATTTTTCCGAAGGAAAGTAACGTTTTTTTATAATACACAACCACATTGTAAGGAAGGAGTGTTGGGTGCTTAAGTTATGTTGATAAAATTAATTTCCTTGATATCCTCATAGATTTCAGTGTGTTCATAGAGAACAATTAAAGTTATTGAATCCATTGAAAACAAGAATCCTCCCGATTTGATTTGATTTTTAATATGCTTCTTCATTACTTATTTTCCCTTGACATATTTACTGAGAACACCTTTACTCGAACAAAGTTGTTGCAATTTGCACTCAGAACAAGAATGTAATCGCCCCTTGGTCCATTGAAGTCATTGATCGAAATCCTTGATTTTTCTATATTATTATTCTTAAAATAATTATGATCACTTCATTCACAATGTCATGACAATTTTCCTCTCCTTAATTTGTGACAAATAAGTATTTTTACATGTAATCTTGATGCATTACTATTTCAACAATTTTTTTCACATTTATTAAATGTAATAATACAACATAATATTTATTTTTAAGATAATTATAATCATTCTAAATTACATTATATACATTTCTTTACTGGCACGTCTAATTTCTAAAACGTCCGAATACCACTCTGAGGATTGCATAAATTGAATCTGTATTATAGCAATATTCAAAAAAATACCCAATTACTCAGAACAAATTAATTTGGCAAACATTTAATAAACCAGGAAAAGAAATCTCTAGCTGCTTGATCAAGTAAATCCTGCCTATTTTAGCCACCGCAAATTTAGAAGAAACCAAAGCATTTACATTTTAAGGAAAGAAAAATGATCATTTACGTTTGCGATGGATTGATCAAAACTAAAAAACCAGAACACATATCTAAGTTGATAGAAAGACTAAATTTTCAGTAAGGGGTCTCAAGCAACCTTGTTAATGGGTATGCACTAGTTCAAGGCTAACCTTGGTACTGATAATTGTGATAAACATATGAAGGGGAGGGAGGATGGTATTGGTAGTAATAACCTGGTGGTAAAGTTGGATTTGGAATTGGATAGTCACCATATTGAGGTTGGGAGGGTTGATGATCATGATGGGGTGGGGATGGTTGATCGAGATGATGGGGTGGAGAGGGTGAACTAGGCTCACTTGGTGGTGCACTAGCTACATTAGTTTGGTGTTTATCTACTCTGACTTCAACCAATTCCTCTTCTTCTACCTCAAATGACCTGAAGATTGGATGCAAGTAAGCATCAGCCAAATAAGCCTTTATGTTCAGGTCAGGTTCTGTGCTTTTCTCCAATAAATCCTTTGACATTGCTTCCTGAATATAGATTATGAGAAATTAGTTTCCAATACAACCATCAACTATGAGCAATCACATAGCATGTAGCCACATTCAAAGAAAAACAAAAGGAAGTTAAGTTTGAGTCTGCTTGGCCTATAAGCACTTCTAAAAGAGAAAAATATGAAGAAAAAAAATTGGAATAAGCTCCTCCGTAAGTTAAAACTAGCTCATGCATTAATTGAAAATAAGATATTGGAGAAGCTAATACGAGAGAACTTCTACAAATTAGCTTATGCATAAACTAATTTCAGCTTATGGAGAAACTTATTCATTTTCTCCTTCCATTTTTCTTCCCTAAAAGTACTTCTTGAGAGGTTAACTCAAACAGCCCCTTTAGAGAAACGTACACTACTCCAAAGGTTTGGTAACACTTCCTAATTGGCAATTTGTAATATTGGCCTATTGCATGGTGCATATTATCTTACCTCAAGAGGGTACTTCCTAAATGCTGGCTCAAAACGTCTCTGGCAGTACTTGTGAAATGCAAATGTTAATATTGGTAACATGACAAGCAAAGGTGTTGATTTAGCTGCCTTTTTGGTGCTAAGCAGACCCAACAGAAGAAGCTGTGATATTAACAAGCTTGCTATAATGCGGCTGTGAACTTGTGGCCAAAATGCAGCAGCACTTTCATATTGTTGGTTGTAGACGTTGATTATCTGCATAATTAAACATACAAAATTATATTTAGACTACACATTGCATTTTCAGACAAAAATGTTACAAGCTAGTGAGCCATCATACAGATTATCATCTCACATGCAGCATGCATGTTCTAGAAATTAGGTAAATTTGACATTGTGATTATTTTAATGGACACAACAGCTATAGCTTTTATCTCATTGTTATTTATTCATGTTTTTATTTCTCTTTTGATTTCTTGAAGGCCAACCCATGATAAGTATCAAACTTATCTAGTGCAGTTGCCTAGATAAGGTTTGTGTGTGAGCACTTATGTATCATACCACAGTTCGGAATGATTATGATTATTTCTTTTGGAGCTGAGTGCAAGTAAGTCCAAGTAAATTAACAGAAGATAGAAAACATTATGGTGCTTATTAGGCAATGTCTGACAATTCCAAAATTGTAGAAATCCTAAAGCTATCATGTATGTAAGCTCTACTTAGCAAAAGACGCATGTTTTGAGATCATACTAGCAAAGACACTGACCTGATGACGGTAAACCAAATATGCGAAGGCAAAGAAGATTAGTATGAACGGAAGAAGGATTGGAGTCACCACAGCATACACAATTCCAAGAAGGAAGTATAGCTGAAGACTTGGAATAGTCTCTGGAAAGTCCACACTCCCAGGGTCCATTGCCTTTCCTCTATCTCTTTCTGTTTTAACTAAGAACATGTTCTTGAGATGGTATATAACCAATGGCTTTAATCTGAGAATCTCACCAGCAATTCCAGCCCATCCATCAACCATTATATATGTCATAAAGAAAGTAGCCTTCATTGGAATGGAAACTCCAATTGTTCTAGGAATCCTGAAGTCAATAATAAAATTCACAAGATCAGTCGTCGCGTGGAAAGCATGCATGAGGTTTTTAACGAAAGAAAAAGAAATGCCAGAGGCAATAAAAATATCAGAAAATATTTATCAAATATAGTGTAAAATTCAATAAAGTTGCAAAAAGGTTATGTAGTTATTGCATTAAATATATGAAACTACTAGGTTAATGCAAGTACAGAGCAAATCTAAACACAAAATGACAAAATATATAGCCAGTCAGTCTCTGATTTAACTCAGATTTGTTTAATTGAAGACATACTGTGTAGGTGACTGATGAAGGAAAGAATGCAATTGCTCAAATGCAGTCCCAGTCACAATGCTTCCCAAGAAAACATTCACCAACATGAAGTAATAATATTTTGCAGCTGTCTTACGCTCAAGTGTTGACAATGCAATATACCCCTCAATTTTTGACATGATCATCAGAACTGCGGGTAGAATGTACAAAAATATTTTAAGAGCCAAACCAGGAAGAAAACCTTGTAGAAAGGATTTGATGAATTTCCTGCCAAAAGCCAAAAAAATCTTTGTGAGGCTACTACAAGACATTTGAGCCTAAACGAAAGAAGCAGGTTATGAAGTAGTCAATCCAAGCATGAGTACCACTTTGTTAGGTCAATTACTTCTCAAATCCTAAACTGAACCTAGTTTAAACATTGTTGTAATTGAATTTTAAAATCCATGTGAACCCTACAAGTGGATTAGGTGATTTATGGACAAAAAAGGTGGAAAAATAAGATCAGGAACTATGATTTTGTATAGATAAAAGTTAGAAACAAATAAATGTTCCTGTCTTTTCATCTAGCAAATGTGGGCAGTAATGTATACTAATTATTTTACAATGAAAATTCACTAAAAGAGAAAAAGAAAAACACAGATGCAAAGTTATAATTTAAAAGAAAAAAATGAAGAAAATAGTGTATCATTAAGATGTATTAATTAATAAAACCAATATAAATCAACTTGTTTAGTAATTGCTAAAATAGAATAAAAAAAAGAAGAATATCAGTTTTTCACCAAGGTAAAATGGTCAATTTCAATGCCTTCAAGACATAAATACAGAATTATTACTGAGATTCCTGGTTAATTTCAAAAGCTCCTGCTTAAAAAGCTAAAACAATGAATGATGAAATACCAGAACAATATACAATGCACATCACTTCTAGTGTAATTACCTTCTCTATTATATATTTGAAAACAAATTTAAGTACACTTACAATTCTATTACTGGTCTGAGGAAAGGAGCTACTCTTTCAAGACCCTCCAAATTTGCAAGGGATTGCACAAAAGCAATGGGAATCATGTAGAAGAATACCAAGGCAAACACAGACAACGAAATTATAAGCTTTCGGATGCTTAAAGAAACAAATGGTATGGCCAAGTTCCGCCAATATACATCGCGTGGCTCCGGAGCCCAATCAGTCAACCAGAGGGTTGGATTCTTGCTTTGTTGGGTTTGTGCACAAACTGATGCTCCCCAACGGGAATTGAATGAAAGAAAAGCAACTGGCAAAATAGCTTTGGGATCCTTTATAATCTTCTGGCGTTCCAATGTCATCTGCATAATATATATGTAGTATAGCTATATTAAAGTACCTCAACCAAAGTAATGGAAGTGCATGTATTCAATAAATGACACAAAAAATTACCTAACAAATTTTGAAAACAAAAAAGGAAATAACAGTAAAAAGGTAACATGCTTCAGAAAAGAGAAACATGCATGACTTACCATCTTATCAAGTTCCTTAATTGAATGCTTGTAGTACTCAATTGCATCAACTTTCCCACCCCAAAGCCCTAAAAATCCAGTCTGGAAATGAGAAGAATACAATGTCAGAGTCAGGGTCCACAGATTGTTCTTAAGTCACATATTGAGCATGTTTTGATACAAGCCTATAAGAGTTTTTAAGAGCTTCTCTTTTGAAAATACTCATGTTTCAGTGGAGAAGCTCTAAAAACCCTTATAGACTGTATCCAAACAGGCTCATTGTACTTCTTTCATTTCTAGCAATTACACACCTTGATGGTTGGCCTCTTTTCAGGATGTCTCTCAAACTTGAGCTGGTAATAGTCCAGCCAATTTTGGAGTCTGTCTCTCCTTTTTGCAAATTTAGCAAATCTGTTAGCATTGTAGATGGCCTGAAAATGAATTTATAACTAAATGAATATGATACATACAATGCAAAGAAAAATTATGCTTGAATAAAACAAATTAACATTAACACCATGTATAAATTCCCTGATCAGGTTATCAATAATAAACTTTCCCAATAAAGAATATAATAAAAATCATTACCTGGTGTCCAATATAATGTTCTGGGTGGTTTGTTTGAAAGAAGCTATCCACACTATCTGATACTGTGTGACCAGAAATATGAGGGATATTCCTGACAACTACCTGCAACAAGAATGTAAACTCTGAACATTTGAAATGATGGTTCAAAATAAATTTGAAAGGAAATCCACATTCATAGGAGTGACAAACCAAGATGAAAAGTTTTCTAAAACTGTTACATCTTTGCTAAAAAAAGGTCCAAGATAAACATTTAAGCAACTAAATAAGTAGACAGAGAAGGCAGAAATTGAACCATCAAAGCATGATGCATTATACAAGAATCATCAAAAAGCAGAAAGCATCATGGATAGGAAACTAAATAAATAGACAGTGTAAATAGTAATTGAACCACTACATACAAAATAAAAAAAATAAAAATAAAAACATATAATACATGTGGCAAGTAGTCTAAAACTCCAAATATTTAGAATGAGAGATGAACAAAGACAAATGAATGGTTCTCTGGCTGAATAAAAAAGCTTTATTCTGCAGAGTGTGAATTTATGTTTGTTCCGTTCAATTGTGTTTCCCTAAAAAGATTCAAGCTGAAAATACCAACAAAAGACACCCACACCCAATTTTCTCCCTGACAAGGAAGCCCAACCATTGACAGCATAATCCATTAAATAAAAAATAAATAAATAAAACTACAGATTATTAAATATTATACAACCAAATAAGAAAAGATTTTGGCTCGGTAAATTGCATTTTTCTCCGGAAACTTTTAAATACATATGATGGCACAAAAAGCTTAAATAGTCATTTTTCAATATTGAATGAGAATCTTTGTTGGCATTTATGAACTTTGGTATAAGACATAAAGGCAGCCCTGATCCAGAAGTGGTAGCTAGAGTTATATCTTCTCCGAGATCTTACCTCACAGGCCCAATGAGGGACTCAAAAAATGAGAGTACTTTTATTTAAATAACTAATGATTTTTAAGCAGCATTGATAATATGAGAATGTGCCCAATGATTTCTTTGCTAACAGGTGAAAATTAAACTGATCAGACAAACAATTCAAACCTTACAATAATGCATGGTTACATACACCTCACTGTAATTGAAAAATGGTAAGGACCTCCAAGAGATGCTTTCATGAAATAAGATACAATCTTAAATTTTCAGGTCTATTCAAAATGAAATAAAAGTTTCAACTCACAGTGAATTGCTCCACACGCCTGCGTTGTGTGGCCAAGAAATGCAATCTCATTGATGCTATATTATCATACTCTTTGTAAAGCAGAAAACAAATCCATATTGTGAACATGTATTCCAATGCTATGTGAACAAAAAATCTGAAATTTACAATTACAGCTGTTAGCTAAAGAATAGAGGTGGTGACACAAAAATACTATCATGAAAATGTAATGTAGGTTGTAATGCACATAAAAATGAACATTACAAGATTTAACCAAAACAAGAGAGAGACGTGAAGAGAAAATATGTAAATAGTATATACTAGATATCAGGGATTGGATATGATTCCTTTTTTATTAAAATCTTGTATCTTTGGGCGAGGTGCCATGACACTGATTTACCAGATATTGCAAAAATTTATTATATGTATGTTGTTTTAGTAGCATATGATTAAAAGTGAACTCTTTGAAGAAACAAAATTAATACTATGTAGCCAGATATGTCAGAAGTCTGTTTTGAAACTGAGATCATAGCAGTTCAGCATTACAAATTACATAGTACAATAAATTGTATATGTTCTACTGATATCTCATGTTTCCATGGAGATATATGTAAAATGACTTCCTTAGATGCATAATCAGAAAACACAAAGAAACAGTCAATTAAATACGCCACTTGTTTTGGTAGAATAATTGAAATTCTATTTTCCCAGATCATTGTGTTTGCTATCTATTTTCAAAAACTATCTTTACTTTTCAAAATGCAACTAAACAAGTTTGCTCAGACAGTTGGTTAGTGGTAGCTGGTGCAAGGCATAGAATACAGCGTGGAATCGAGGGAAAGGTGAACAGGATGAAAACAGAAGATGAGAATACATCTCCTAACAGTTTCTGTCTTTTGGGTTTTAAAACTCTTGTTTTGAAAACAATTTCAGAACTTAATAGATTTTGATGAGAAATTAATTTCTGATTAGTGTGGAATTATTTTAAATAGCAGCTTTTAAAACAAAAACAAAAAATGAAAAGGGAATGGTTCATTGTCTCCTCAGATATCCTGATACAGTGTAACATATGCATGCCTAGAGAAGGAAGCATCAAACTTGGACCTCAAGGGAAGCATTACTTCAAGAAGCACGTTCTAAATTATGTATTTTTATTTACTTATTTCTCCTTTTAGAGTTAAGGGAAAACACAATCGTACCTTATAGATTTAGGTGGAACATTTGATATTGAGAGTTTATCAATATCACTTACTACCAATTCTTTTTTTAGGAAAAATAATGTCCCACTTGATACGTTGACTGGTATAAGAACTAGGAGTGCAACAACTGCTATTGGAGCAAAAATCTTTAAGCTGAAAATAAGAGATAAAAATTAGTCAGAATGCTGATAACACAATAAAGTAATTTCAATATTAACATCAAATTGAAAAAAGAGACGCTTCTTTCTCTTAATTTTTTGATCTCAAAGTCATGCCACGCAAGTTCACTCGATGGTATTAATATGATAGACAGAAAAAGGTGCATCCTCACACGTAACACAAAAAAAATTTAACTGAAAACAGAAATAGAGAAGCTAAAAGGAAAATTGGAAAACGTAGCAACATGGACTACACCCCCAAAAGGCGAAGCTTCCACGAAAAGGCTTTAACAAAAGCTGCCATAACATAACCAAAAAGAAAGTTGAAAACCACACGGCATAACTCTAGAATCTCTTTGATAATCAAACGCATATGAATAAAAAATAACAAATGCAATCACCGAACCGAATGCTTGAAATTTTAACAAGTAGAACAATTTTTCCAAACATGGTTGCTGCACAACAATGCATCACACCAATTACACAACAACAAAATCAAAATTCCCAGAAACACAACAGCAAGTCAATTCTGTCCTTTTGTTTTCAAATTGTCAAATTAATCGTTAAAAAAACTAGACAATGTGACTAAAGTTAAAAACTTTAGAGTTAAAAACTTTATAGAGTTAAAAACACAATTCTGCAAGCATGGTCGCTGCGTAACAATGCATCACATCAACCACACAACAAAACAACCACAATTCCCAGAACTGAGTATATTAAATTTTAAATAAATAAAAAAACTACAGACTGTGACTAAAAATAAAATATTTTTATGATAGATAAGATTATATAAAAAAATGGTAAATTTCTTATGAATTGAGGTGATAAAAAAAATATTAAAAAAAAAAGTGGTTGTTGGAGACAAACAACAATAGAGCCAAGCCAAGCATAGAGAGAGACATGCTTCACTGTTTCATGTTTGAATAGAAAAAATGAAAATTGATGTAAAGGGTGTGAAAGGAGAGAGGATTACCCAAGAGTATAGATTCTAAGGAAAGCAGCAGAGTCAAGGCCAGCATGGCTGATAATCTCAGACTCAGACATTCTGAGAGCCTGAGGCATCCAGTTGAGAAAAGTGAGGTAAGTCCTGAAATTGAGGTTGACAAACTTGGCCACAAAATTTCCAGACCTCCTTGGACTACTTCTCCCTCCATTGATATACCACTTGGGAAAGTAGACCCTGTCATTGATGGGTTGGATTCTCAGCAGAGCAAAAGCCAGCAAGAAAGCAAAGGCTGAGAGAATGTTGATGGCTGCTGAGACCCCAATGTCTTCAAGAGTTGCCATTGCAAGAGTTCAGAGAGAGAGAGAGAGATGATGATGGGGTTTGGAAGAGGAAGAGAAGAATGAGAAGGCAAAGAATAACTGATTCTTGGTAACTCCAATTTGTTTATTGCAGAGTGAGAAAAAAAGCTGGGTTCTTTGCTGTTGTTTGACTTTATTGAGCCTCAATTAATAAACTTTATTTAAAAATTGGAGTTGGGTTTTGTTTGATTATGATGAGTAAGAAAGCACTTTGCAACTAGGAGCCTTCATGTGCTAATAGGAAAGGATTTAGGGGGTCACTAACTTACTCTTTTTTTTTTTTTTACTACATTATATAAGTAGTGACTAATTTCAATAATAAAAAAAAACAATGATCATATGAGTACTCTTTTAATATCTATTCAAATTTAATATTTAAATCTTAAATATTTTAATTAAGAAATATAAATTATTGTTATTTGTGACAACATGTTAATAGATATGAATTCATCCTCATTTTTTTCTCTTCATTTCTTATCTATTTTTATATTTTGAGTGTATAAATAATATTAAATATTAATTTTTTATGATTAATATTTTATATCATTTATACACTCAAAATTATAAAAATATATTAAAAAAATAGAGAGATCTAAACTCGATAGATATTTTTTAATAATTATATTATTATTATTATAAAATATTTATTAATTTTATCAATAATTAATTTTTATTGAAAATCTGACTAGTTAATTTTAGTGAAATTTTTTCTCTTAATCACATTTCTTTTATATTACATTTAAGGGAATAGAGTTTAGAAATATTCAAACCAACAACTTGTTAAAAGATTAACATTTATTTCTAGTTTGAATTAATTTTTACGAGACATATATTAAATTCATAAAAAAGTTTTTGACAACATTTAATTTTAATTATATATCTAAAAAACATAGTGAAAATATTGATGATGATTTTGGCCTTGGACCATTTAATACAGTAATTTATGGGGAATTACAAGTGGGGCATGTGGTGTATTTTTGTGTTGTTGCTATGGCTTGGGATTGTTTCCTCACATAGGAGTGGTGATTTTCTATGATTCTGTTGTCTTGTTTTTGTGGTTGTCTTTGTCAATGCTTTAGGAAAATTAAAATGAAAAAGAAATATAATTAAAGGGACTAATCTTTTTGCTTTGTTTCTTACATTAATCCATGCCTTTTCCTCGCGCCGGGAAAGTTTCCTGTAATGATGCGAATCGCTATGTTCGCGGCAATAAATCGGCTTACGTTATTTCAAGTACGCAAATACATACTGTTTTTTTTTTTTTGTTTTTTTTTGGTTTCAAATATATCCCTATACAGATTAATAATGTTTTTAAAATGATAATTTACCATTTTAATGAAAACAAAATTAATGGAAAGTATACAATGTTGTGAAAATTAAAGAGATAGGCAATATAAAACTATTAAAGCACATACGACTTCTATATTAATAGAAAACTATAATACAATTCAAATGCAAATAATACTTTAAAAAAAAAAGTATATAAATTTATGTGATTTTGTTTACCCAATTTGATTTTCAAATGAAAAAAAAGGTAATATTTTTTTATTTCTATTTAACGGTATATTCTCACATCATTTATTGAGTCAAATGACATATAATATGTATTCAATTCTTTTAAATAATACGATAATATAATAATGAATGGCAATAAGTATTTAAGATATTTTATTGTTATTTAATGATATCCTTTAATGATTTTAGTCTCATATAATATGTGGATTTTATTAAGGAATGTGATAATATACCGCTATTATTCGATGATAGTATTTTTAAACAATTTTTTTATCTAGCAAAGTTATAATGACAAAATTAAAATTAAAATTTATAATTTTGTATATATTATTTTAATCTCTCGGCAATTAGGTCAATCCCATTATGTTTTGAGTCTCTACAAATACATTTATACTTCATTATCATCCTTACAAGTTTTTTATTTACAGATTTTTTATATTTTTTTTTAGTTCTTACTATTAATCGGAATCAGTTTAGTGATAACATGACTAAATAAAAGGATAATATTAAAATAATTAAGTTAATAACTAATATTTTAAATTAATATAATTAAAATATTTTTAAGTATATAGTTTAATTAAATAATATATTTACTAATTTATGTATATAAAGTAATTCATAATAATAGATAAAGAAAATGTTTCTAATTTTTCATTTAATAATTGGAAGTATTTTTTATTTTTTAATACTTTGATCTATCGTTTTCGTACTTTTTCCTTTAATAACTACAACTCCTTTAAATAAAATTAGAACACAAAAATTTGTATTGAACTCGCTCTTTTAAATTTTTTTTTAACTGTTGCAATATGTATACAAAACTTAGTTCTTACTTTTTTATTTTTATTTAAATAAAATATATAAAAATAATAATAATAATAATAATAATAATAAAGTGTCTTGACTCAATAGTTAAATATAATTTTTGCAGTTTATTTTAAATTTTAATATATTAGGATCTATTATTTTTATTGCTTTTAATATTATTCTTATTTTCAATTTGCTAATTTAATTTTAATATTATACTGTTTAGACGATTATAACTTATTTTTTGTTTTTTGGAAAAAAATTACTATTTGTGATATATTAAAAAATAAATTATATTATAATCAATAATAATAACAAATTAAAATATAAAAATAACATTAAAAGTAATATATTAAAAGTGTCTTATAAGAGTCTAAGTAAATTATAATTATAATAATTAAAAGAGATACAATATTAAAAGTAAATCAATGAATTGAAAAAGTAAATACAATATTCAAAATAAAAAATATTATAAAAAATTATAAGTAATTATTTTATTTGTATAAAATAATAAATACAATACTTATATAATTATTCTCTTAAAAATAATCTAAGTATTTTAATTTGATATATTAATCATTTTAATAATATTTATTTTGTTAACCACAACTAACTAAAATTGATGGTAAAGACTAGAAAAACATTAACAAAATATCAAAATTTACAAATGACAACAAATATAATAACTAAAATGATAGAGTCATATTTGGAGAGACCTGAACCATATTCAGGTCAAAATTAAATTATATTATACAAAATAGAGATTTTAAATTATATAGATTGTCAATATAATTATTTTATCATTAAATTTTATTGATTTTAGTCGTTTTTTCTTTTCTTATGTTTTATAATTGAAAATATCCCTAGACCCTAGTGAATACCAAAATACATAGTTAAGAACTAAGAACTGACCCACTGTCAAAAGGAAAAGGTGACCTAAATATTAGTACTTAGTAGCTTTGGAGACCAAATTGACACTGGAAAGCAAATTTAATGATCATAATTAAAATAGTTGACAAATAATTAAAGTATTTATTGAATGATAATTATATGATCGAAACGGTAGTGTTTTGGGATGCAGGGAGTCGTGACAGTGACACCGTGATTAGCGATGATAATTGGCAACTGGATTACTCTTAAAGCTAATACTACTTTAATACTTTAATTGTATCATATATTAATATTAATAAAAATATAAATATAGGGAAGTTATTAGGTAGTGTTTGGAATGTCGAACTTGGTAGTTGTTTTGGAGAATCTCACGACCCCCATGTGAAAAAGGATATTATATGATATAATAATAATAATAATAATAATAATAATAATAATAATAATAATACATCTTAATTTATGAATTATAAAGAGCCTTTTCGAAGTCTCCACGTGATAACATCATTATTTCATACAGTAAATATTCGGACAAAATTACTTAGCTGTATTGTGTATCATTTCTGCCAAGTAATTTCGGTTTATATTACCGTTATGGTGCTAACATAACCTCCACATTATATGTTCAAAGTATTTTAATATTATATTATTTAAATTATACTTCTTAATTTTATTTAAGTAATATAATTATAGTTTCTCAGTTTTTAATTTTGTAATTTTACTCCTTTATTTTTATAAAATTCAAAATTTTGTTCTTTTAGTTGACTATCTATCCATTATTAGTTACAAAAATTGTAATGTTAAATATAACCTAATATTAAATGAATATCATGATAATTAATATTTAATAGTATTTAAGTTAAATTACACTTTTAATTTTTTTATTATATTTTTATTTCATTATATTACTTTTATGAGATAAAAATAGAAATTATAATGAAATTTAGTGTAAATATTATAAAATATTAATTGTCATGTCATCAATTTAATCTCAAATTATAACACTATATCCTTTAAGTGTTTTAGAGAAATTTCTCTTAATAGAGATATAATTTGACCTTGAAGATAGGAATATATAAGATTTCTTTTTGAGACATGAATCTTATAACCCTATTTCTCGTAAAATTTTAGAGAGATACTAGCGAAAGAGAAGTTGTGAAGTTTTTTTTCTTTTTTTTTTTCTCTAGACTCCTTGAGAATATAAAAGATCCTTATTGATCAACTAAGTTGGTGCTTCAAGGCTATTGGAGTTAAGAATCGATGTTGGTGTGGAGTCTTAGAGTTGCTCGAAGCTTAACATTTGTTTATTCTTTTTTCTCAATTCACTTAGACCTTAAGGTAAAGGAAGCTAGACTGGTCTTTTGCTGGTATCTTGTTGCCTGTGTTGAGCACCGAGGGGGTTACCACACATATACACATGTCTCCACATTGATGAGATATTGTCCGCTTTGGGCTCAAGCCCTCACGGATTTGCTTTTGGACATCATCTAAAAGGTCTCTCAACCAATGGAGACAATTATGTGTATATAAACTCACGTGCATCCTCTTGTTTGAACGATGTGGGACTTTGCTTGCATCACAACAACCTGTGTTGTTTTCCACTTGCATTGATGGGTTGAATTTCATTTCTGGGTGGCTATTATAATTGTTGAAATAAAAAATGGTAGATTATGGATTTTTGGTGTTGCGAAGCATGTTTGATGTGAAATTTGATATTTTGGTCAAATTATATGTTGCATTATATGTTGCATGTTGATTATGAGACTGGAAATGAGTTGTTGATGATGTGTATGTATAAATTGTTGCAATGCATTTTGGATTTCCTGGTTTTCAAGTGAAGGGAGAGCCAATTTTTGAGTAACCTAGGAACCCCTGTCTTGCTAACATTGAGCACGTGATTGATGGGACCAGACATGAGAAGA